TTTAAAGGGTTAAACAAAGAAGACATTCAGTCGTTAACCTGTAAACTTCTCACATGTTCTGATTTATTTCTACTGAACTGTGAAGATTAAAAGGAGCTGAAATCTGTGTGGACCTCATGATCACTGGTGCTGTTTCATCCGTGTTGCCGACAGATCATGGAAAACGCCGAGATTAACAACATCATTAAGATCGTCGGGCTCCAGTACAAGAAGAGTTACGACGACCCAGAGTCGCTGAGGTCCCTGCGCTACGGCAGGATCATGATCATGACGGATCAGGTGAGCGGCCTCACAGACACTCACTCACAGGTCTGGTAGGACTCACAGCTGCTCAGAAAATAGCAGTAACTCTTCTCCTCGTGCACCAGGATCAAGACGGCTCCCACATCAAAGGTCTGCTCATCAACTTCTTCCATCACAACTGGCCTTCCCTGCTGAAACACACCTTCTTGGAGGAGTTCATCACACCCATTGTCAAAGTAAAGGAGGCACACCATTACCATTTTATTAACCGATCAAGCCTGAAACTTGAATAATACGCACGCGTCTTGTTTTGCGTGTTGCGACAGCGGCGAATAGAGCGACTTGCAACACATTGTGATAAAGATTCCTCCTCATCATTTATTTCCAGGCTACTAAGAACAAACAGGAGCTGGCCTTCTACAGCATCCCAGAGTTTGACGAGTGGAAGAAACACACGGAAAATTATAAAACCTGGCATATAAAGTACTACAAAGGTTTGGTGTTTGAATCATTTCAGAAACGATTTTAGACTTTTGAAATCACACGTTTTTGTGTGGAAATTTGTTCATTATTTGCACTAAAAAGATCAGTTTTTTTGTTGCAGGTTTGGGAACAAGTACAAGCAAAGAAGCAAAGGAATACTTTGCTGACATGGAGAAACACCGGATCACATTCAGATACACTGGTGCTGAGGACGACGCTGCCATCACTCTGGTGAGCACGCGGTACTGCTGCTAGGACAAACAGCCAGTAATCATAGCATACGTTTGTGCTCAGGGTCTGTTCAATATGCTTACTTTGATTCAGGCCTTCAGTAAGAAGAAGACGGACGACAGGAAGGAGTGGCTCACTAACTTCATGGAGGACCGACGTCAGAGAAGGATGCACGGCCTGCCAGAGGTTTGTATGGAAGAAGCTTTTATTTGCGTGCTCCTCTCACGGACTCCTGCTAACTCAACAATATTTGATTTGGGTGAAATGGAGAAAACATCGATGAGTTATTGCTCTTTTCTCATCTTCCCACCACCCAGCAATACCTCTATGGAACTCATGCCCGGCACCTCTCCTACAATGACTTCATCAACAAAGAGCTGATTTTGTTCTCCAATTCTGACAATGAGAGATCGATCCCGTCTTTGGTTGATGGTTTGTACACTTCCTCCATCTTTTACCTGTTTGGGTTTTTTAGCTGAGTTTTCTTTCTCACAGTGAAAGCATCCCTAACATACCAACAAACACATAACGTCAGTATTTTATAAATGTATGCGAGGTATAATCAGCCCTGGATATTTCAGCTTTGTAAATGTCGATGATGGTGTTTGTGTTGCTTTTA